ACCAGAAATCAAAGGAATAATAATAATAATAATAACTGATCATCTTGTATCAGGTTGCACGATATTGGCACCCACTGAATATAAAACCCGACATGACAGAGTGGGCCAATATCTGCATTGGAAAATCTGCAACTTCTAAGGGAAGGAAACTGAAAGAAACTGGTATGAACTCCACCCAGACCCGGTTACGGAGATAGGACCTGTTACAATTCTATGAGACTACACTATACACACTGACAGAACAATCAAAGCTAACGACCCAGACATTGTTATTAAAGACCACAAACAAAAAAAGTGCCTCCTTATTGATATGGCATTCCCAGCAGACTGCAATGTGTGGCACCATGCATCCAGGCAGAGAAGGAAAGGTAAAAAGGGAAAAGGAAAGAAAAGGAGAAAGGAAGGGAAAAAGTAATGCGAGACAGATCATAGGCGATAAGCGAACACACACACACGGCTTAAGAGGCAATAAGAAAAAAGGGTTATTTTGGATAAGTGGCAAACGGCGGAAAGAGTGTCATTACAATGACAATGAGATTGAGTGGGTAGGGAAGTGTTATCTAAACTATTGGTACGAGAAGGCATCTTACTATCAAAACACAGGCCGCCGGCCAAGGGAAAAATTCCAGCGAAAATGTTATTTCGATAAGTGACGACAAGAAACAGGCGACAAAAAAAAAGACTTTTGGACAGATATGAAAATTAAAGGCCACCTGCGAGCAATCATTGACCGATTTTCCTACTGGCCTGCGCGAATGGAATTGTGTTATCAAGAAATGTTCGCCAAAGAAAGTCCACTTGAAAACGTTAGATTTTGATAATTGACAAAACACAGGTGTAGCTTGGAGCCTTAGCTGGATATGGAAAATTAAAATCCCACACAAGCCGTCTCGCTAATTAAGCTCATTTCGACAAAACAAACTTTTGCCCTGCGATAATAAAATTTTGTTATCAGACACATGAACCGAAGGAAAATGAATGGAATAAGAAATGTTTTTATTTCTTCCTTGGAGACGTCAGACTGACTGAAAACTTGGAGAAAATTCTTTTCTGAGAGCATGCCGGAAAAACCAGCCGTCTGATGAAATAGCGATAAACTGCTTGACAAACGCCACGTGTTGAACAAAGAGTTGTCATATTATCCGTTCATGATAACGGGGATTTAATTAATTTTTTTTAGTTAAGCAAGGTATTTTTTTCTGAAACAAAGCCGCGGGTTGTTCACGCCCGACTAAGACGTCATTGGTCAAGTGGTGATCACATGACGCACGAAGGAGGAGGAAAGATACCCGACCAATGACCTCATTGGCCGAGAGTGATCACGTGACGCACGAAGAAGGCTGTTGACGCCCCCATCCAGAGTATAAGTATGAGAAGCCGCTACGAAGAAGTGGGCAGGGCAGTTCACGCCCCTCAGAAGCATGGTGAGAAAGTGGGAGTGAGAAAAAAGTTACCAAAAATGGAAAAGAGTGGAAAGTCCCTAACCAGAAATAAAAGAGGTGGATATGTATTTAGAATTATCGAGGAACTCCCCGACGCCAACAGACCCAACCCGGTTTTTGTCGGCGTCAATAAAAAAACCAGGCCCCAACAGGCAGAGATCAGTTCGGACCCTGACGGGCAGAATACAGTTCGTTCGGCCCTGGCGGCAGAGATGATAGACCAAGATAGCTGACCAAGATTCACGCAAAATTTTGGACTCCTCTTCAACCAAGAACAATTATTTTGAAGAGCGACTTAGAACCAGACCACAGAAATAAGTTTTTCGACATTCGTCCAAAGACACACCGAAACACAAATTTCTTAGAGAGCAAACAACTTGAAGCGTTAAAACTTGCCTAGCGAAAGCGACGTGTCACAATCCACAGAGCGGGTCGGGAGATAGATGCAGTCCTATGTATCGAACAACTAGACATAAAGTTTGTTACCTTTTTTCTTTGATACTTTGAACTTTTTGAGTTTTCATTTTATTTTCTTTTATGCATATTCGTGTGTTATCACCCCCGTTGAACTCAATTTGCATTACGGCCCCAACCCCTGTTTGATCTCGTCTGTCTAAGATCAATTCACAACGTGGGTAGGCAGACTGGAGATCAGTGCAGTTACCTTGGTAACCAGGCGTTGGAAGCACGTTGGGAACGGCGAGGCTGATATCAAATCTAACCAGATTCCCACCCGAATCACCAAAAGGTTAGAACGTCACATTTGGGTGCCGCGACCGATACCAAGCCAGTTGGTCGTCACAGTACGAGACAACACGACTGACGCGACAGGCGAACGTCACGTTTGGAGCAGCGACACCCGGACGGAGCAGCGAGGAGCGAACAGCTGGCGCCGCGGCGAAGACGTCACAATTGGTGCTGTTTAGGGACGTCACAACTGGTGTCGTGACCGGGATAGGACCCTGGAACGGCCACGTCACAACTGGCGCCGTGGTAGATCAGGATAGAACGTCACAGTTGGCGCTGCGACCGGGGGACGACGTCACAAATGTATCTTTGAAGATATTCAAAAAGCTGTCAAAATACAAAGACCTTGAAATAGAAATCTCAAAAATATGGCACTTGGGAACATCAACCATCCCTGTCGTATTTGGAGCCCTAGGATTGGTTGGAAAAGACTCCAGTAGATTAATTGAAGGGACTCCTGGAAGTCCATGCCTCAAAGAGATACAAAAAATTGTTCTCACTACAGCCCACACTTTACGAAAGGCTTTATCTAGGTATTTATTTATTTATTTTTTTTTTTTTTTTGTCAATAGAAAGTGTCATGATGCCATTTCTAACCTTAGGTCCCTGGGCGGGAAAGAAATGTGTAAACGCCAGAAATCAAAGAAAATAATAATAATAATATGGTATATAGGTGCACCTCCAAAATTCTAGATGATTAGATCCTGGCATCTAGTCATTCAATGTCTTGAAAACCAAACGAGTGACGTTCCATCATCACCGATCAGACCCTGCACGTTCATCTATAGCGATGAACTGGTGTTCTCTCAGAGAGGCCCTGTTTCTTGAGAGCCCATCGGGGCATAAATCTCAAACCGGATGTCGTGGGACTCGTACATATGATTCATCGCTAAAAATACTGGGAAAAATGGTTGGCTCCCTGTACAACTCCAGTAAGTACCCGGCCCCCTCCTCTACCTTTACAAGAAGCAGATCAGGCCGAAAATCGAGTATGATCTGTACAGTTTTCATTTTCCAGTGTCAGTAGAGTCCAAACAGCGTCTCCCCAGCCTTGTGGGTGATTAATTACGCTTTTCTCACAGACGAAACATGGCAAATCTCTCGCTGCTCTATCGATGGAAATTGTTCAAACGAGCTACATTCCTTAGTTCAGCCTGTTCCATCTTTCCCGGCTAAAATCCAATATGCCACGCACATTGTAGCGGACTATCCTCATACCCTTCGTATTCAATTATCTAGATGCAAGTTCTGTTCGTGCATCTGCTTTGTGGAACAGACTCTCAAGAGGACGCTTCCCAGTTTCTTCGTCCTGGGTATGACGATAAACTACATCGGGCAGGTAATTGACTAATAAATGTTTTGAGTTTTTTGTGATTTATTTATTTATTTTTTTGTCAGTATGTAACATTTTTAGCTAGCTTAAAAACCGCCCTATCGATCAGCATTTAAGCTAGCTCCTGTGGAGGAATCTTGGTTTCGCCATCATGACAATAGCTAGGGAGGTGTAGATGTGATAGACATCAATAAACTACAGAAGAACCCAAAATTGATCGCTGCATTTAAGTATTGAATTAATGTTTACCTTTTAAAAGTTCAACGATAATTTGATGTACGTAGATCCTTATTTTTTGTACAATTATTTTTTATTTCGTGGGCGACAGAACAGGAGACAAATTATAAGATAAAATTAATATAGTGTAAAGATGGGAAAATAGAAATCAGAATTAGTTATACATTCAACATTTGAAGAGTTAGAGAAACATAATAGCTAATTAAGTAAAACCTATATTATGGAATATAATATATTAATATATATTTTAACCTTGCATTATCTGTGAATATGAGCCCAACGTAAATCGTTCTCTGTGCCTAATTTTTCTAGGGCTTTTAAATAAGCAATGAATCATTGAAATCGGACCAGTGGGAGCGGAGGTGTTGCTTGAACACACACACGCACAAACACACATACATAGACTGTACTTTACATATGAGACTTTCTAATCGGGAACAAACTTAAGCAATGATCTAATAGAAACTGAACATTTCCAAGTTTTCTAGGAGAGTAGAAAATACAGTATCTCTAATGCACATCTAAAATTCTAAATGATCAGAGCCTGACATCTAGTCTATCCTCTGAGGTAACGGGGGGGGAACTTGCTGGTCACATTCAATAATAATAATAATAATAATAATAATGCTGGGAAAATGGTGAAGACCTTCCCGATAAGACATCAGAAGGATCTTCGCCATTTAAACAGCTCAATCATCCTACACTTGTTCCCTCTCACTTGGCCTATGCTGAGCGAATGACGTGAAATTTAGTCCGGTGTAGGACGAGAAACCACATCCCGCAAAAAAGCCTCTGATCGGGAGATTTGCGGTTTTGAGAAGCGTGGAACCACCACTAAATTGCCGTTGTTCCCGACTCCAACCTGACCCGGGGTGGTAGCACATTTTAAGGTCCCAATCGTGGGCAAATACTGAATACCCAAACTGGGGTCAGAACACTATGAAAATATTAAAAAAATACATTTTTATCGTAATAATTTCCATCAATAGATTTTAATAGTAAAAGAAATACCAAAACTCCGAAGAAAATTCATTTTCGGCATTAAATGACCCATAAAGTGTTGATATGCCGTTAAATAAACCAAACCAGTTTCTTAACTTGTCCAAGTCTAGTCTTAACCGTTAGCTTCCCCACATATTCTCATAAACTGTGCCACTTACTCTGCAACCCTCTACCTCGAGTGGCTCTTGGGTCTTGTACAATGTGTACATTATTGTAAAATAAAAAAAGAAAGAACATACCAATTTTGCATTTTTTAGCCAGGGATTCGATGTTACTGCTGGGATCTGCCCCCATCGAGAGCAGGCCCACCATTGGTGTTCGATTATTACTCTCCTCCCATAATTTTGTTAAGTCAAGGATGACCCCTTCGGCATATTTATCCCCAAGAGTGTCAGCGATGTACTTCCTTGCTTGGGGGAGTGTCCGGTCAGGGCACCAGCAACGGATCAGAAGCAGACGTCGGAAAACATCCAGTGACGAGTGGTAGCCCTCAGGGATAATTTCTTCCTCGGGGCTGTTTTTGTCAAACCAAGATTTCCATTGTTTTTCGTTTCGGGTTACCTACAAATAAATAGATAGATAGATAGATAGATAGATAGATAGATAGGAAGGAAGGACAATAGGAATAAAAGCAAAAGGGAAACTTATCTTGGCCAACACGTTTCATCTTCTGTGGGATTTTATCATAGTAAATATAAGGATTTTATTTTGCAACAAATATTTAGATAAAAGAGCAAAAATGATATTGATTTTTCCAAGATTTTAAAATAGATAGAGAGACATGAAGAAACTGAGATAGATACACAGATATGAACAGTGATAGATAGATAGATAGATAGATAGATAGATAGATAGATAGATAGATAGATATGAACAGACTGAGACAGATAGAAATGAAAGAGACAGTGAAAGACGGAGGAAAACAGACTCAAAGAAATGGGATGGAAAGAGAATTGTTTTTGTTTGGTTTTCAAACCGAATGATGTTTTTCGAGCGTTTTTTAACTATTCCATCGCATAAACATATTTTATTAAGATTTTCTTTTGATAACTTTCGTTTTTAAGTTTTAGAATTTTTTCCCCAGTTTTCCACTTCCATATTCTGTTCACTTACTGACTTATTTATAATTTTGTTCATTTATTTCATTGAGATAACGACTGGTTTCTTTATTGTCCCATCCAAACTATCAATTTCCTAAAATATTTGTTATAATGTAAGGGAAATAAAATAATAATAATAATAATAATAATAATAATAATAATAATAATAATAATAATAATAATTGGAAAAAGAAGAATTATGATGATGATGATGATAATATGATATTTAAGAATACTATAAAATAAAATAATATAATATAAAGTATATCAAATAATAATAAAATAATACACATAAGAATAATGTATAATTATATAATACATACAATATATATAAATAATTATTAATAATAGTTTAATTATAATAAATACGGATGAAATAATTAAATAATATAAATAATAAATGCGACTCATAATCCATGGGAGATAACTACAGAAAAATGAACGCAAAGTTACCTCCCTTGCTAATTTATTTTTAATTGTTTTACATTGAACCACATAGAGTGAAGATTGTATTACGTCAATCAAGCAACTTTAACTAAAATCAAAGCAAGTATTCTAAAATTTACACGAGATTTGAGAAACAACCGATCTTCGCTACACTAAAGTGTTGAATATGGACTGAATTTCTAAACATGGAAATTTGGAAAGATGGCGAAATAATATATCGCTTTGACAGTATGATGTATATGATCAATGTTGGAATAGGCGATATAAAAGGCATTTAAACCAATTAATAAAACCAAGATATACGAGGGAACTAAAAACTCAACAAAGATATTTACCCTTGGAAGTTTCTGAAGGATACTTTTGACTTGCTAACTCCAATTATAACCACTCGATAACACAATATAAGTAAAAGAAAAAACAAATTCAAGGGAAGTGTTAGAAATGCACTCCCCCCCACCTCCGAAAAGAAAATGCGTATCTTAAAAAGGCGGGGTGTTATGTAGAAAGACGACCAACCTTCCCTACACTAAAGTGTTGAATATGGACTCTTCCATTGATTACAGAAGTAGTCACAAGCATGACACAAGGAAGTCGCCAAACTGCATTCGCTGCAGTGGAAAAACGCCTTTTTTCAGTGTAGTGTCGTAGCTCCGTTGTGCAAGTTTGTTGAAGACATGATGGTTAGCATGCTGTGCGGAAAGTTCTTTGTCTTCGAGGCCAGTTCCGTCTGTAGCAATATAGTACCGCCGTTGACTAAGGCTGAGCACTATGTGTTCCTTTGCTTACTGGGGGTTTTGCGAGTCGTGATATGGACGACGCGACAGGAGGAATTCCATGGGTCCCAGAAGATAGATAGTGATGACAGTTCTCTGGTGGGTGCGGGGCGTCTTTCGTTTCGGGTGTGACTTTCGTAACGGTTTTTGTGTTTGAATGTGTGTGTATTTGAATGAGTGTTTGAGATGTATGGATATTTTCTATTTTTTTTAAAGTCCCGCATTGATTTCGTCTAGTGAGCTGATGTTACTGCCACAGTTAGGGCTTGGGTGGGGGGGTTATTACTAGCAAAATTTTGTTTAGTTTCTTGTATATAGTTTTGTACACATTTGTAAATATTCATTATATTTTTTAGATTTTTAATTGTTATTTTAATCCCCTCCCCTACAGATAATGATTTGTATATATGGGGACTAGTTAGGACTTCATAGAGTTTCTGAGGCATTATGGTGTATGAGGTAAGAATGGCAAGTAAGAATGTGTTGTTTTGGTGAAAGGAATATTGTTTGTATGTTTGGGTCAGTGTTTGCGGCTAGCTAAGTTTAATACAGAAGAAGATCATCCTTTTCCTCTTTCCCCCTTTTGGCCTTGTGTCCTATTTGTACATTCGTACAATAAATATTATCGCAAAGAGTGTCGTAATAACTACGGTATTCTCTATTATGGTAATATTAATCCACTTGATTAACTCATTAACTGCCATTTTTTTAATGCGCATTTTTGGCCCAGACAGGTGTCTTAGGAGTTTATTTATTCCTTATGTTTAATTTCAGTAGTTACCATTGTCGTTTTTATAGAAACTAGAACATCAAATATATATGTGTATAAAACATCAAAAAATAATATTGATTAGAAATAATAAAAAAATACTTTTCAAAATAGTCATTATTTTTCTACTCGTGAAATGTAAAATTACGACAGAAAGTGTCTTCTTACGGCTAATAATAAAAACTTTAAAGGCTAAGTGTTGTAAAATATACCTTTGCAAATGCAATGTATGTAAGCAATTCAATGTAAATACAAGGAATAACATGTAGTGAGTTTAATTTTAACAGATCCCCAAATGGGGCTCATGGCAGGTAATGGGTTAAAGAGTTCTTTCACTAAACTTTTATTCCAGTGTTTTCCTTTGGAATATTACTAACCCGAATTACGATATTTATTTCTACGAAAATACAGAAAATGTGACACAAGGCCTAAAAAGGGGGATGGGGAAAAAAGGATGGTTTTCATCTGCCTTAACTTTGTCGGTGTTAGCTCCTCCTTAGTTCCTTAATCCTTCACCAGGGGTCTCTCTCTGCTATAAATTCTGGATGACCTTTTGTCTCTCTTTTCCCCTCAAGCCTTGGGCCGTATCCCACCTCGCGTGGAGATGAGGTAATACTTTTCTCTTCTTTCTTCATTTCAGCTAATATCAATATATGAGCTCTCACCAATACAGCGTTTCCCAATTTCTGGGAACACGCTAAGAACAATACCAATACACGTACGTACGAACACTCACCATAATACACACACATAATATTAACCACACAAACTTAATGTAACTGTCCATGTGCTTGTAACTTGTTGTTAATACATATATTTGTTTATATATAATTATCGGTCTTGTTTGTTTTCTTTGGACTTATTAAAGTCTAACATTCTCACGTAGCTGGACCGACTACCAGGACATTTTAACCGACGTGTACATACGAACAATATACCTAACACCAAAACAACACATTCTTACTAACCTTTCTTACTACATCTACCAAAATACCTCATTGTCTCCGGGAAAATCCTAAATAGTCCCCATATGTACAAATCGTCGTATGTGGGATGGGAGAGGGGAATAAAACAACAAATTAAAAAGATCCCCATGAGTATATACAATATAAATTAATCTATTTACAATAAACTAAACAAAATCATGTTAGTAATTCCCCCCCCCCAATCCTTAAATGTGGCAGAAACATCAGTTAACTGGACGAAATCAATGCGGGACTATAAAAAATATAAAAACCATTCATTCATCCCTAGCACTCACACAGACACGCACTCATCCAGACACGACAACAAAAAACGAAAAACACACACAGGCGAAAAACGGAAAACACCCCGCATCCACCAGAGAACTGACATCACTGACCACCTAACGAGGGAGGGGATGGGGAATTAAACTAAAGAAAAAATATGGAGAGAAATAAAAGGGGTCAATGAGCAAACACACCCTAGCTAAGTTTACTAGAAAGAAAAAAAAAAGAAAAACTAAAGAAACAAAAAACAGCCTAATTTCAGGGGTGGGAAATTAGTCGTCGACGGGACAAAAGGAAGTCGCAAAGAGTGTCGTAATAACTACGGTATTCGCTAATAATGTTATATTAATCCACGCGATTAAACAATTCTTTCACTAATCTTGTGTTCCAGTGTTTACCTTTGGAATATTATTGACCCGAACTACAGGTTGGTTTGGTTTATTTTGTTTTACGGCATATCTACTTCAATGGGTTATTTAATGCCGACAACATTTTTAGGATAGATTCGTATGAATAGAATATGTATTCTTTGGTTTAGATTGGTTTGGTTTATTTTGTTTAACGGCATATCAACCTCAATGGCTTATTTAATGCTGACAACATTTTTTTTATTGCTGGTAATATTTTTAGGATAGATTCGTATGAATAGAATATGTATTCTTTGGTTTAGATTGGTTTGGTTTATTTTGTTTTACGGCATATCAATCACAATGGGTTATTTAATTCCGACAAAAAAATTTATTGTTGGTAATATTTTGTTTTGTCAAAAATCTGTTTCTGATAATATATTTCCTTCAAAATTGTATTGCTGGTAATAATTTTTTTCAAAAAAGTATTGCTGGTAATAGTTAACTATTTGCCCATAGCTGGGATCCTAACAGGTGCTACCACCCCGAGTCAGGGTGGACCTGGGAACACCAACAACTAAGAGGCGGTTCCACGCTCCTCAAAACCTCCTGATCAGAGGCCTTGCTGTCGGACTTAGTTTAACGTCTTACCCAGGACGCGGATGTAGTTTAACGTCTTACCCAGGACGCGGATGTAGTTTAACGTCTTACCCAGGAAGAAAACTACGGATTGATACGCACATTATAACAATTACTGAATAACTAGCTGAAGAATCCTTTGTGTATTTTTAATGAAACTTGGCACTGAACTCAACAGCGGTTCATGGTACAATATGCTTCTAAATTGATTTTGGAATTATGTATCTTTTAACCTGTATCTTGAGAACACACATACATACAGACAAGATTAGAGTTTTAGCATTATATTGATATATCATTAAATGGAATAGAGGATGCTGATAAAACTCGTATAAAAATGATTTCTTACGTTGAATACAAAATGAATTATTCGATTTCGAATTTTAAATTTAGTACTTTTTTATTCTTTTAGACTTTACATTTTACTCTCCTTTTATATTAAGCCTAATAAATATTTATCAGATTTATGTATGTGCTGAATTCATTTCCTTTGAGTTCAAATTTACAATCGAATGGCGTTGCACTGTTTTATAAATTCACCTTTCAGCCAGCC